ATTTTGCTTAAGATATTTTGAAATCTACTTCCTTTCAAAACAAAAACAAAGTGCTTTTAATTCAGCCAGATCTCTACAGGAATACAGTCACCCATCAGTTACATTATAAATTTATTCATTAGATAAGTGAATTAATTCCTTTCTGCATCACCCCAAGCCAATTCACTCTTATATTATAAAGTATTATTGAAAAAAGAAGATACTAACTAGTTTTCTGTAAAACCTGTTTGCCTTCCACATTTGATCCCAGGATTCCCAGTGTGTCCACAGCCACTCCAATCATGGTTGGATCCTGACTTTCTGCCATTTCAAAGACTTTCTCCATAAAGACAGGGTAGCGCTCACAGATCTGCTGGGGACTGTCCACAACAGCCAGATTGCCAAAAAATTTAACAAATCCTGAGGAAACAAGACCAAAAAAAGCATTGAGTGGAAGAACAGCAAAATTAAATGTACATTAATGTGAGATTGACTTGTTCCTAAACATGTGTTATTAAGTCTGAATAATGTTGGTAAAAAGCTCAAAATAAAGACAGAACTAAGCAACAAGCCAAATATTTTGACTGTTGCTTAATTCATGATGTTTGTATTCCTAAAAAAGGCTACAATAACACAAACTTTAAAGCTACAGCACAGCCTACCCAGATCTTACTGAGGAACATCCTTCACGTGTCAAGCTGTCCTTCAGCATTTTAAAATATTTTACACATCCAATCTAATATTCAAAATTTCCCCTGAGCTCCCAACAGAGGCTTGGCAGCGCTGTCAGTGTAACCCACTACCAAAGCAAGCAGCAAAGGCTGGAAAGAAGGAATGCAGGGTGGCACCTGGCAGGTAGAAGCTGGAGAAGGGGTCAGACTCTGCCCCCAGGATGATGTTGGAGATCCTGTCCATGACTCCCTGCTGAGCCAGGTACTGCCTGCCCTGGGGGCTGAGGGCCAGCGAGGTCAGCATCTCGATGCACGTGGCCCTGCAACACACCAGGGGAGATCACTTTGTGTCAGGAGGGGCCTGAAGCACTCAGTGATTGATAAAAAGAAGCCACATCCACAAAACAAAATCCTAGCAAAGAAAGCCAAATGATCCTGACTGTTCAAGCTTCTCTGAGCTCATTCAGCTCTTTGGATTTTGGGAAGAATCTGAAGTGTTTCTGCTGCAGCCAAACATGGTAATGATCACTCCAGCTCGCTCCTCAGGTTAAGGTATGAAGCACTTCACACCCAAGGCAGTTTAAGAAGTTTTTCTGAACAGGATTTTACAAGAAACACACCCAAATACATTCATCAGAGTTTTAACAATGGTGGAAATGTCCAACATACCTGACCAGCACGTCCTCTCCAGTCAGCTCCCCAATTAGCTCAGGGATGAACCCACTGCTTGCACAGTAATTCAGAGACTCTGCTGAGACTGATGAAATCTCCACAATTAACTAAATAAAAGCAAAAGGAACAGTTTATAAGAACATCACTGCAACAGCCAAATACATCTTCTATGCTAATTAACCTCACATATATTAAATATGGAATTAATCACATTTTTATCATTAACCCAAATGTCTGCCTGAAGCAACTTCACAAGGAGTTCCAAGTTCACAGCACAAGCATTTGACCTCTACTCACAATCAGCTCTTCCTGTGCTATCCCCATTAAGCTCTAGAACATTTAAATTGTGTTATTTTTACTTTGCCAAACATCTCTAGACTGACAGCTGGCATGTCTCCCAAACTCTTAGCACCTTTTCACATCCAGAAGTCAAGAGGTTATAGTTAACTATTTCACTTTTATTTTCACAGAAACAAACTCTTTCTGGTGCCTCTAGTGATTCTGTGCAGCCCTTCCAATGCCTTAGGCACCACAAGTTAGAAAATGAACAGCAATTCACCAAAAAATGGGCAGGAGAAGTTATGACATCACGAGAGCCCCCGGTGCTGCAACCTCCCCACTCCTTTCTAGCTTTGATAAAACACAGACATGAAGAAAAGTGGGTAAAGCAGTGAGAAACAACAATTTGAAAGCCACAGAAGGCAGGCTGAGAGGAGCTGCCCACCTCGTAGACCCGGTACCGAACGACGTCGCTGGTGGCCATGACCCTCCTCAGGTCCCCCAGCAAGCTGCTCCCAAACACAGCCTCCAGCCCCTCCTGGCTCTGGGCTAGCCTTGACAGAGATTTAATGGCCTGCAAGCAAAAACAGGAGCTTCTGGTTAAAAAGGAACAAATCACAAAGAGAATAAAATCCAACACTATCAGGTCTTAGTCCTTTATTAGCTTAACTACAGCTATACGCTTAATTTTAATTGTAATTCACTTTTCACTGATGAGAGCTCGTTATTGTTGTCACCCAAGCACCTCAGCTGGCAGAGGAATGGGACAATAAAGGCACCTTTACCTCTTTGGCCACTGCTATTTTCTCCCCACCAATGCAGTTTATGATCTGCTGTAGCAGCTCGGGGCTGTGCAGAATCTCTGGGACAGCAGCTGGGTCTTCAACAATCCTCCCAACCTGGTCAAAGAGTCACAGAAAATAACATTAGAACAAATTATTTCCCACTGTAAGGATACTCGAGCACTGGAACAGCTGGACAGGAAGACAGAGTCACAATGTTTTCAGGTTTTTGGATCAAAATTCAATTGGACAACACCTGAGCAGCTGCTCTTAGCTGAACTTTTAGAAATCCACCCCAAACCACAACATCCCACAATCCTCTTTGGAATGCAGCAAGTGTCAAGCTCCCACAGCCTGTTTGGTGTTTCCATTGTAGTTTAAAGTATCCTGAATATGAAAACGTTGCTGCTTTTAACTCTTCCATCACCTGCTGGCCTGGAGAGTTTTAACCAGGACACGTGGCAGAAGTTTTATTCACAACCTGCTTTTGTCAGGACATAGCTTTGGACATTATTGCTGACATATCATAAAGCATTATGATATATAATTATACACACACACTGCAGGGTAATTATCCGAAATGGAACAAGTGTAGGACACAATTCCTGCTCCCATCACAAACCGAGGCAGGAAATTCGAGCAGATGGGGACAAACCCAGAGCCCAGCACAGAGCTCTGTCCCCTCTCCCTGGAGGAAAGCCGGTACCTGGGACATGGCGAGGATCTTCACCGAGTCATCGGGGTGGAAAAGGCCCTTCCGCAGCTCTTCCCTGAGGTTCTGGATCACGTAAAGGGGGTCCAGGCCCGGCAGGAGCCTCTCCAGGATGGAAACACACGCGGACACCTGTTCCCTGGGCGGGACGGAGAAAAAACCGAGCCCGTGATGAGACTGACACCGCTGTACCACCTCCCGCCCCGAAAGAGCGCAGGGAATGACCCGGAGAAGCGGCAGGACCGCCCCGCTCCGGGAGAGCGGCAGCGGGGCCGGGCAGGCCCGCGGCACCGCGCCGGAGCTCACCGCTCATTGTTGGCGAGGAGGCCGAAGAGGGCCCTCAGGTGGTGCTCGCCGAGGCGGGAGCGGAGGGCGGCGAGCGGCACGGCCTGCACGGCGACCCGCAGGGCCCGCAGCTCCTCCAGCGTCGCGTCCCGCCGCGCCGCCCGCTCCAGCAGCTCCGCCGCCGCCTCCGCCATCTTGGCCGCCGCCGCCTCCGCCGCCTCCCGGGAGTCTCGCGAGAACTCGCGTTCGCCCGTAGCAACCGCCGGGCGGGAATATCGCGAGAGCGCGGGTAGCCCGTAGCAACCGCCGCGCCGTTGCTAAGGGCGCCCTTTGCGTCCGGCAAAATGTAAACAAAATGTCCGCGCGCCACGCCCCCCTGGCTCCGCCCCGCCGGGTGTGCGCGAGGGGGCGTGGCCCCGGTGATGAGGGGCGTGGTCCCGGTAATTAAGGGGCGTGCTCCCGGTAGTAAAGGGGCGTGCTCCCGGTAATAAAGGGGCGTGCTCCCGGTAATAAAGAGGCGTGGTCCCTGTGATGAAGGGGCGTGGTTCCGGTAATGAGGGGGGCGTGATCTCTGCAATAAAGAGGCGTGGTCTCTGTAATAAAGGGGCGTGGTCCCGGTAATGAAGGGGCGTGGTCCCGATGATGAAGGGGCGTGGTTCCTGTAATGAGGGGCGTGGTTCCGGTAATGAGGGGGCGTGATCTCTGCAATAAAGAGGCGTGGTCTCTGTAATAAAGGGGCGTGGTCCCGGTAATGAAGCGGCGTGGTCCCGGTAATGAAGGGGCGCAGTCCCATCGGTGTGGCGGGTCTCCATCCCCTGAGTGCGGGCAGAGGTCGGTGCACGGTGTCGCTGTTTTTTTGGCAAAACTGCGATAAACGGCGTTTGTCTGCCTCGGGAAGGGCAGGCGCTGGTCCCGGGAGAGCAGGAGCAGCCGGGCCCATCCCGGTGTCTGCCCGGAGCAGCTCCCGGCTGCGGAGAACCTGCCACCCCCTCACGTCTTCTTGAATTTTCTCACCTTTTCCAAACAAATCGATGCTGTCAGGTAACTCCTATAACTTTGTGCTCTGCAAGGATTACATCCCCCGAATAAATACGTGATAGCTCGGCGGGTCCTGCAGGCTGGCAGGGAGTGGATTCTCCCGGCACACTACGGGGACAGACAGGGGGACAGTAAAAAGTTACACGGGTGACAATAAAGTGACACAAGCAGCGCTGGGCTCTGCCCCGCGTCCCTCACAGGAGATTTTGGGTACAAACGCCACAAACTCCACGCCAGGACTCAGCCCCTGCCCGGCGGTTTCTATCCCAGAAGAAATCTGAGGAAATATCAATTTTATAGACAGGGAAATGGAAGCAAAGGCGATCAGCACGTCCCAGAGCACCGGGGAGGGCTCCAGGGAGAACTGGAAAGCCCAGCAGACGTTTGGCACCACCGGGGTGTCTGAGCCCGCTCTGGGGTGCCGAGCCCCGGTATTTGTGCCCGGCAAGTGCGGGGACAGCAGGGGACACCGGGAGGGAGGAAGGACAGGAGGAGGAGGAGGAGGAGGAGGAGGAGGAGTCAGTGCCGCCTGTCCGGGCAGCGCTGCCGGCTCGGGCACAGCAGGTGGAGGTCCCTGCGGCCATGGAGGGGCTGAGCCAGCGCTGCCCGCTGCCCCCCGCTGCACAGGGCTGCCCCCGGCCCGGCCGCGGCTCCGTGCTGCTGGTGAGTGCGGCTGGGATGGACACGGGATGGATGGACACGGGGATGGACATGGGAATGGGATGGGCATGGGGATGGATGGACACGGGGATGGCCACGGGGAGGGATGGAAACGGGGATGGAAATGGGAATGGGATGGGCATGGGGAGGGATGGACACGGGGATGGCCACGGGGAGGGATGGAAACGGGGATGGAAATGGGAATGGGATGGGCATGGGGAGGGATGGACACGGGGATGGCCACGGGGAGGGATGGAAACGGGGATGGAAATGGGAATGGGATGGGCATGGGGAGGGATGGACACGGGGATGGACGGACATGGGGATGGATGGACATGGGTATGGACGCTGGGATGGACACAGGGATGGATGGACACAGGGATGGATGGACACGGGGATGGATGGACACGGGGATGGACGGACACGGGGATGGATGGACCTGGGGATGGATGGACATGGGTATGGACGCTGGGATGGACACAGGGATGGATGGACACAGGGATGGATGGACACGGGGATGGACACGGGATGGACACAGGGATGGACATGGGAATGGGATGGACACAGGGATGAACATGGGAATGGACATGGGGATGGACGTGGGGATGGACGTGGGAATGGGATGGACACGGGGATGGATGGACACAGGGATGGATGGACACGGGGATGGATGGACACGGGGATGGACGGACACGGGGATGGACACAGGATGGACACGGGATGGACCCGGGGATGGATGGACATGGGGATGGACACAGGGATGGGATGGACACGGGGATGGACACAGGGATGGATGGACACGGGGATAGACACAGGGACGAACATGGGAATGGACCCGGGGATGGATGGACATGGGGATAGATGAACACACAGCTGGGATGGACACAGGACTGGACACAGGGATGGGATGGACACGGGGATGGACACAGGGATGGATGGACACGGGGATAGACACAGGGACGAACATGGGAATGGACATGGGGATGGATGGACATGGGGATGGATGAACACACAGCTGGGATGGACACAGGACTGGACACAGGGATGGGATGGACAGGGGAATGGAATGGACACAGGGATGGATGGACACAGGGGTGGATGGACACGAGGATGGGATGGACACAGGGATGGGATGGGGATGCAGGACGTGGGACACTCCCTGGGGAGCATGTGGGACACCAACCCACGCCAAGCAACCATGGAAATGTCTATCTGTCTGTATGTTAGCAAACCTCTCCCCAAAACCATCGTGCAGGAGGGGTGGACTCCCTGTACCTGCTGGAAGAGAAGAAATTTTCACGTTTTTTTTACACTCAGAATCACCACAAGTTGTGCTCAGGTGGTGTTGATCAGTTGGAGTTTTTTAACAGAATCTCATGAAAACTAGGCAAAGAGTCCTGGCATGGTGATTCTAAACCTAAAGCTGTTTTTAGTTCACCAAAGCCAAAAGAAGTGTTGCAGAAATCTGAGTCTCTCTGCACTAAACTGGCATTTTGCTCCTTGGTGCTTTTCAGTGAAGTTCTTAAATCCTCACAGGGGTGTTTTCAGTTTTGTTCACTTCAGTATTTTGGCAGTCATGAGTTTAGTTGGTTTATCGGGCAGGAATCCTGATGTTTCACTCTTCTTTTGCACCATTCCTTGGCAAATACAATTATTCTGGGGAAAAAACAATGGGGGAAATCTTACTTTTCATAAAAAAGGTGGGGGGGAAACACCAGAAAAAAACAAGGTGGTGTTCATGTTTGTACTAATATTCAATCACAAATGATCCTGGGGATTTCCTCATCACATGCACATACATCTTACAATAAGATTAATGATCAGCAGGCTGAACAGGTTGGATGTTTGTTTTTTTCCCTGAGCAAGGAGCATGATTACGTTTTAATCTGGAAAAATAGGTACACCAGCACATCTCTGTTTGGCTTGTAGCTCACTGAGTAGCTTCTGGGATTTGTTGTATAATGTTTGCTAAATGGCTTAGTGGGAAAAAAGGAGCACAGAAGGAGCTCTAAAAATGATGATGAGAAGTCTTGTGGTAACAAGGAATATTTCCTCAAATGGACTGGGAAAGAGGAGACAAGCAATACAGCACATCAGTCATTTTCCAAATGGGAAGGAGCTCCTGGATTTGTGGTGACAAGAAAGATTTTTAATTCAATTAAAAAAAAAAAAAGGAAATAAAAAAAAATTAGGAGATTTTTAATTCAATTTAAAAAAAAAAAAAAAGAAATTAAAAAAAAAAAAGGGAGAGATTTCTACATTAGTGCTGTTGTGGCAGGTTTTTCAGAGGACAAAGGAGGGTGGAAATAAGGGGGAAAAGGAATATATTCTTAGCATTTTTTTAAATCACTGCAGATGAATCAGGGCCAGATGCTGTTTATGTCAAAAACAAAACAAAAGACAAAGGGAAGGCGCTGCAGCCCAGAACGGCACCGTCCTTCAGCTGCTCCTCAGCACTCCAAATTAACCTCCCCATTCCCACAGCATCCCTGCTGGGATGATGACATATTTTTGGGAGCCCTGTTGATGGCACGAGAGCACAGAGATCAGTGAAGGGGCCTGCCAGGAGCAGCAGCTCCTGCACAGCACACCCCACTTGTTGCTGCTGCTCTGCTTGCCATGGGCAGAGCCTTGGTGTTTGTGCAGAGCTGGGCTGTGTACACTGAGATCCCTGTGCCCCCCAGGATCCTGATTCACTGCTTCCAGCAGCAGATAGTTCAGACAGATGAATTTAAAACCTGCCTTGAAATCAGGCTGTGAGGCTGGAGCGTGGGCTGGGTGGGCTGCAGAGGGCTGTGGCAGAGGAGAGGAACCTGACAGGGCAGGATGGGCATTCCACAGCTCCTGGCACCAAATCTGTTTCCCATGGACAAATCAGTGACATGCTGCTCTTCCCCTGCCCACATCCCCAGGGAGCAGAGGGTCCTGTTCCCCCCATTTCCCAGAGGGATGGACACAGCTCCCCCCTGGCACACAGCTGAAGGATGGCTGCAGATGTGTCCTGAGTGAGAGATGTGCTGGTGTGGGAACCATTCCCTTCTTGCTCTTTTTTGCACTAGAAACCAAGACATTTCATGTCTTACCTCCTTATTCTTCTGCAGAAAGCCAATCCCGGCTGCTGTGGTTGGGTCTGGAACCCTCATTAGTCTGGGGGTGACCTCCCACAGTCGAGGCCTGGGCTGATACAGCCTCAAAAGTGCCCCTCTCCTGCCCTGAGCACGAGACTGGCCCTCTTGGAGGGGAATGAATCCCCCTAGGAGCAGGCTGTCACCCTGATTCAATTTAACTGCTTCTGCAATGCTGAGAGAAGCCTGGAAATGTCCCTCAAAGCCCAGACAGTACAAACGCTGTGTCCCCAAGCGCAGTACCTCACCCCCCCACCACCCCTGGTGTTCTCTCCGAGGTGCTGACGCTGCTGCTGCTCCTGTACCCCCTGCTCCGGGGCCTGGCTCTGCAGCTGCACTGGGCTGTCAGCGGCAGCTACGTGCCAGGGACACACTCCGTGGCCTTCATCAGCTGTCCCAACGAGCACATCGCCAGGGACATCGCCAGGTACGGCCACGCCGCCCTTGCCTGCCTGCTCCGGGGGCTCCCAGGCCGGGGGAAAGCTGAGAATCTCCTTGTCCCTCTGCCCAGGGAAGATGTGGCTGCCCCATCCCTGGAAGTGTTTGAGGACAGGTTGGACATTGGGGCTTGGAGCAACCTGGGATAGGGGAAGGTGTCCCTGCCATGGCAGGGCGTGCAGTGACATGAGATTTAAGGTGCCTCCCAACCCAAACCATTCTGGGTTCCTCTTCTTTCTCTTCTTTCTCTTCTTTCTCCTCTTTCTCCTCTTTCTCTTCTTTCTCTTCTGCCCTGATCTTCAGTGTTGCCTGAGCGCTGCATAATTCTTTCTGAAGTTTAAGTCCCTTTCTTACACTCAGTAACTGTTCTACTTTCCAATAAGAATCTATACATACAGATAGAGATGGTGGTGATAGTATGGGAAAATACTCAATTGACTGCTTTGAGCAGTTTCAAGTCCTCTGCAGTGTGATACAATTTAACCTGGTGTTATTATTTAACCTGGAACCAATTCTAGCTTGTCCTGTAGCACAGAAATAGGAACTAATTACTCCTACATTTTTATCACAGGGATTCTGTGATACCCCAGTAATGCTCCTTTCCACTGACTGTATCACAAGCCCTTGCCAAGAGCTGCTCTGTCCCAAGGAAAGCTGACATTTGCCTGTGAAGTCAATGCCATGGTAACAGCAAGAAATTCTCAATGTGTTTATTTCACTTGCATTTTCAAGACCCATTTTCATGACCCTGAATTTCTGGGTTCTCAGGTGGATTAAGCTCCAACCTGGTGTTCTCTGATCTGCCAGAGTCTTTATTCCTCTCTAGAACAGCACAGCAAACAAAATGCCAGGAGGGATATTTATAAAGAGAGACCAAGCACAGTGCTTTGACATGAAAATAAAGGAAAAAGGGTCCACAACAAACAATTCTGAGGCACCACTCTGCTCACCAGGCAAACTTCAGGGAATGAGGGCTTTTCCCCTATTTTTTCCTTCTTCTGTTTTAATACATGAGATACTTTGTGTGATATTTTGCATGCAGGGTTCTTTTCACACATCTGTCAGTCCCTGACTCAATGGATGGTCTGTTCAAAGAACTGAACCCGTGTTGACTGGGGAAATGTTTATGATGGACCGTGAAGTTTCCTGCAACACCTCCTGTGCTGTTTCCCTGCTGCCCTGCTGCTGCCAAAACCCCTCCATCTCCAGCAAAGAGCTCCCAGACATGTTCAGGAACTGACAGGCTACTGAAAGGGAGTTTGTGTCACCTTAAATACTGCAACTGTATGAAGAAATTCAAATAGAATTATGTCTGCACTGCTCGATGTCTCCTAAAAAAAAAAAAAAAAAAAAAAAAAAAAAGGAGCAACTGTACCTGGTGAAAAGAGCCTCAGTTCCTGAAAATGCCTCATCTTAACAGCTCTGCAAATGCTTTCCACTCTTTGTTCCTCATCTTGCAGGGAAGGGAGAGGAGATAAATCACTCCCCCTTGCTGAGATGTGTGTACTCTGATTGTGGTTTTACTGGTGGAGTAATTATTCCTTTGTTCTGGAACTGGGAGCAATGAGCCCTGGTTGCAGGGGATGACACAGGGCTTCTACACTCATTTTTCCCCACTCCTTTTCCTGTGTTTATTCTTTCTTTGCACTGCTCAGTGGAGCCCTCACTCAGATGAATCAGTCTGCAAGGAAATTTTCCACTGGTTTAAGGAAAAGGGGTTCAAGCTTTGGGAAAGCAGAAGAGCTGCAGGTAGAACTCAGCATCTCAAGACCTTCCTGCCTGTCCTGGGAGGAGCTGAGTGGTGTGGCCACTGCACCTCACCCAACTTACCCAGCACCCCACCAGCCCCCACTGCTGCCTTAGATTTGTGTTTATCATTTTCTTTTGCTTTTCTGCTTATTAATATTTCATCTGTCTCACTTCAGGGCAAAGAAACACACAATTAAGTACCCAACCCAAAGCTATCATGCATTATGCAGACATTTTCCACAGCTCACGTTCAGCTTCTTACAATGTTCTCTCTTCCCCTGGTGGCCTCTTGTTGCTGCTCATCCTGCTGGGACAAAGTTCAGGATCTCAGGATCTCAATTTATTGGGACAGAGCATTGAAACCAAAATGTTCCTGTGCTAAAGGGACTTGCAAGTTGCAGGCAGCAAATCCGGACTGATTTGTGCCATGTGTGACATGACAGGCACAGCAGGGGTGGCCCTGCTCGTGCTGCTGCACTTTGTTGGTCTAAAGATTAACTCAAGATGCTGCAGGGGCATTAAATGCCTGGAACTGCCTACACATGGTGAGAGCAAACAACCCTGAGCCTCCTGGGGTCCTCTTCCTCTCCAGCCATGGTCCCCCCAAGGCAGTGCTAAAGCAAACCAAAGGTGGGGTCACTGGTGCCCTGCCTGGAGGGACAGCTGCCACCTCTGTGAGAAGGGCCAGACACTGCTCTGGTCACCAAACACAACATTTGCCCCCTGTTCTTCTAAAAATCCTCCCTGAGATTGGCTCAGTGCTTTGTAATCTCTGAAGTTCACTTCTTCCTGAGCAGCTCTGCAATAACAAACCAGCCCACAACTCGTGGAGGCAGCCCGAGGGAAGGAATCTATCTGGGCTTCAGATTTCTGGGATATTTGGGGTTGAAGAACCTTGATGTTTTTAATTTAACAAGATGCACATTTAGGCTGCTCAGGGAGGAAGGGACACTGTTGGACAGTGGCAGACAAACCCCTTCCTGTCCATCCCAGGCTGGGTTTTTGTGGTCCCACATTTCAGTCCCTGCCCTGGTGACCCCACAGCCAGAGGGGCACAGGGCTGGCACTGGGCAGGAGCAAGCCCCAAACTCCCTCCTCAGCACAGGGAGGGTCCCAGAGCCCTGCCAGGAGAGCCTGATCTGAAGTATCTCCAACCAAAGTTCACCTTTGCTTCTGTTTTCTCAGGGTAATAAGTAACCCAAAATTCAGTGTCTCCAATGTCAAAGCTGCTGCTGCCAGTCCTGAGCAGCACAAGGGAATGTCCCCAAGGCTGGGGGGTGAGCACTGAGCTAGGCTGGCACTGACTGCCCTCCTGTCTCCCCCAGGGCCATCATGGATAAGAGACTGGCTGCCTACGTGAACATCCTGCCCAAGAGCTCAGCCTTGTGAGTAGTGCTGGATATTCCCCAAGGGAGGAGCAAACCTGGGCTCTGCAGGAGGGAGGGAAGGAGGGGATGGACACAGGCCTTGGTTCCAGAAGGCTGCTGGGTGTGTTTGTTGTTGCAGATGGTGGGGATGAGTCTCACTGTGCTCGGAGATTATTGAGGAGTGCAGATGCTCCAACTGCCCGTGGGGCTCATTCATTTATTGGTTACTTGGCTACACAGACATCCAGCAATTTAGGGTTTATGGTCCTGAGGATGTGGTGCCTGTTATTAGAGACTCTAAAAAGCAGCCAAATAGGGAGCAGAAAAGGCCTTTGCAAAATGAAGCAGCTTTTTCAGGCAGGAAGAACAGCAGGTCTGACCTTGGAACAGACCCAGCCCTGCTCTGCAGGTGTCCTCAGCTGTCCATGCAAAGGGACTGCACTTGTTGGAGGGGTTCAAGAGCAAAGCCCCAAAACAGCTTTTCCTCACAAAAACACCCTGGGCAGAAGTGGGGAGCACATCCCACCCCAGCTTCCCTCAGGAGGGCATCCCACAGTGCACCCCCATATCCCACCTGAGGGCAAACCCAGAAACGCCCTTCTTCCCCTTATCCATCGTGTCCTACAAACCCCAAAGACAGAGCAGAGCTGCTCCCGCACAGCTCCAGCTGGATCCTGCTCCGTGCCCTGCTCCGAGACACCGCGACGCCTCTGAGCCCTCCCCGCAGGAGCCCTGCAGGCAGATGAGATCAGGACAGCTCCTGGCAGCGGAAATGTTTTGAAAGGTCACATCTGACTCATGAGAAGTGCAGCTCCTCTCCTGCAGGGAAAGAGAGGAAGAAAGCTCAGCCTCGCAGCCAAGGTCCCTGAAGGCACTGTCCCCCAGGCACTGCTCAGAGCCACCAGCCCCAGCAAATCTGCCCTGCCAGTCCTCCTGGGCAAATTCTCTGGAGGAGGCTTTTGTCCGTAAAGCTGGGGTGCTCACTCATGTGCTCGGCAGTTTTGGGGTCAAAAATGCTCCTTGAGGCACTTTGTAAAGAAATGGCCACGTACAAAAAGCACCAAGCAGGGAAAGGAACCTGAGGGTTGGTATGGCTGCAGCAGAGCTGGATTTGTTGATGATGGTTTTCTTTTAAATCCAGGTATTTCTGGAAAGGGGAATTGGAAGAATCCACTGAAATACTGCTGGTAAGTGATCATTCGTACATCACAAAAATCCCTGTTGGAAATGGCCACTGCTGAAAGGAGCTGCAGGGAGGTTTGGGGAGGGTGGCACCAACCTGCTGGGCTTGGGACCATCCCTGGGGAGGAACCCTGGGAGAGCTCCTGTCACCTGGCACCTCCTGGCACCTGCTGAGCTTGGGACCATCCCCAGGGAGGAGCCCTGGGAGAGCTCCTGGCACCTCCTGGCTCCTGGCACCTGCTGGGTTTGGGACCATCCCCAGGAAGGAGCCCTTGAGGAGCTCCTGTCACACCCCTGGCCGTGCTGGTGGGGGCAGTGGAACTGGATCAGGATGCCTCCATCCCTTCACACCTCCCTTGGGGTTTGTTCTGGTTTTTTACTCTCCACAGTTGGTGAAAACAAGGACGTCCAAAATAGGGGAATTGTCCAACTACGTCAGGTGAGGCTCTGGCTCTGCAGGAGCACTGGGTGTCCCACCCAAGGTAGGATGTCACCTCCTGCTCCAGCTTTGGGGGTTCCTTGAGCCCCATCCCGGCCAGGGGGGTTAAGTGCTCCTGTTGTATCTTACAAGCCAGAAAAACCCAGAGGTGGCATCAGCAAAAAGGAAAAGGTGGCAGAAATATCAACTGCTGGGCTCCAGCCAGCCCTCCGTGCTGCATTCGAGGAGGGATTCTCCTCCTCACAGGTTATTCCCTGACAGGATTTGGGAAGGAGCCCTGGAGGAGCTCCTGTCACACCCCTGGCTGGTGGGGGCAGTGGAACTGGATCAGGATGCCTCCATCCCTTCACACCTCCCTTGGGGTTTGTTCTGGTTTTTTACTCTCCACAGTTGGTGAAAACAAGGACGTCCAAAATAGGGGAATTGTCCAACTACGTCAGGTGAGGCTCTGGCTCCGCAGGAGCACTGGGTGTCCCACCCAAGGTAGGATGTCACCTCCTGCTCCAGCTTTGGGGGTTCCTTGAGCCCCATCCCGGCCAGGGGGGTTAAGTGCTCCTGTTGTATCTTACAAGCCAGAAAAACCCAGAGGTGGCATCAGCAAAAAGGAAAAGGTGGCAGAAATATCAACTGCTGGGCTCCAGCCAGCCCTCCGTGCTGCATTCGAGGAGGGATTCTCCTCCTCACAGGTTATTCCCTGACAGGATTTCCTGCAGCTCCCGAGGGGGGAGCACTCTCAGCTTGGGGCCAGGCCCCCGGCAGTCTGTGGTAAACCCCAAACTCAAAGCAAAATTCCCACGTGGCAGAAAGGAGCCGCGGGTGCTTTGAAGTGCGGGAGGGCGCGGGCAGGGCTGGAGCTTCCTGCGGGGCTGGCGCTCACTCTGCTGCTCCGCGCCTGTTTCCACTTTAGATCCATCCATCCCTTTGAAATCCCCGAAATCATCAGCCTGCCCATTGACCAAGGAAACCCTGTCTACCTCAAATGGATAGAGGAGAACGTCCCGCGGGACTGAGAGGCGCAAAGTGCAGCTCATTTTTGGGGAGCCGCGCGGAGGCAGCTTTTATCTTCTGGGGTTTGCTGTGACACGGGAGCTTGGGATCGGGAAACCTCCGCTCCTCGGCCAGCCCCGGGAGAGCTGAGCAGCCCGGAGCCGGCACAGGCTGGGCTGGGGAAGGGCCGCCTGCACCGAAAGCTGTGAGGATACGCGGAATGTCCCTGTCAGGACGCTCGGGGTGCCTCGGGCTGTCAGCAGCGAATTCCAGCCGGGAGCCTGGCAGCCCCTGCCGTGCCGTGTGTCCCCACAGCTGCCCTGAGCCCTGCCTGGCCCCCCGGGCGCTGCCAGCATCCTGCCCCGGCCGGGGACCGCAGGATGTGCCCGGGCACCGCCGCCCCTGGAGGCTCAGCCCTGCAGAGCCCAGGGAAGCAGCAAACCCCAAAAAAACCCAGCAAAGCCCAGCAGGGTTTAGCTCTCCCTGGCACCGAGAGCTGGGATGAGCTGGGCAGCAGCCAGGCCGGTTCAGGGAGCCCAGGTGCCAGCAGGACCATGGCACTGCCCTGGCACTGTGTTCCTACCCCAACCTGAGCTGTGTTTTCTGCCTGGGCCAAGCCGAACTTTGTGAAAAGTTCCTCATGTTAATGGTGTCTGGGACATAACTTAGGGAACATTTTTGGGTTATTTTTGTGACTGGGAGGGGAATAAACAGGAGTTTCTTACCTGGGCAGGCTGTCGTGGTCACAGCTGGGCAGAGGAAAGGGCTGTCCTGGGCTTGCACACCTCACCTGGCACAGAACACAACCCAGCAGCACCAGCTGCCCGTGCTGGGCACTGGGCATCCCAACCCAATAATCCTCACACTACGAAAAAACAGTGACGTTGAAAAAAACCCCACTTTTTAATTGTACATCAGACATATTAATTACAACTTGGGTATAACGGGAGGTGCTTACAAGCAGCAACCTGAACTCAGAAATCAGAAGGTGCACAGAGTTGTTATAATCTCTATTACAGCGAATGCAAAATATACTCTGCAACAAAAATACTTTTAAAGGCTCCACATTCAATTCTCTGCAAGAAGCCAGGAGAGGAGGAGAGGGAACAGAGAGGGAGCAGAGAGCAGCCAGGGCCAGATCCTGTGGGTGCTCCCACTGGCACATCCCACAGGCATAACCCTCCTCAGCCCTGGCACAGCTCTTGGCAGCCCCTTGGAAGGGCTCCATAGGCACTAAGAAAGGGAAATATTTGAAGGGATCCTTCAAGGACAAAGCTAAGGCAGGACAGGAAGTTCTCCAGCTGCTGGACCCCTCCCTGCCAGGGATGGGGGGACCTGGCAGCCCCTCTCCCAAAAGGACAGGGACACTCTGCTCTGGATGAGCTGAGATCCCACAAGCACAGGTAGGACAGGACAGGCTCTGCTGATGGACAGGATCCCACAGCCCAGCATGGCCCACCCTCCATCCCATGGGACAGCCACATTGGGATGGGGGAGAGGTGAGGAGAACATTAAAAATATCTCTCTGTCTCTCTAAAGGATAAAAATCTAACACGTCTATCTGATACTGGAATCTTTTTTAAAAAGCCAGCTGCTCTGCTCCTGCCCAAGCTGGCAGTATTGCTTTGTTAAAGGAGGGGCTGCTCCTTCTCTCCTGCAGACAAATCAAGCTCAGTGCTCACAATCAGCACTACAAGAGAGGCACAGCCAGGAGGCCACAGGGATGAAGACAGGGATGGCCACAGGGACCCCAGTACAGCCCCTGCCTCACTGTCCTCCTCAGCCTTTTTTTGGTTTGTCTGCTGGTTTGGCACATTTGGGATGAAGATTCCTGTAGAAACAAAGGCCTTGGGCTCCAGTCTGTGCAGTGCCCATGGTGGTTTTAAGGCAAAGGAGGATTTTTTGGATGATCTCTTCCAAGATCATGATTGTCAGAACAGGGGAATGAAGCTGGTGCAGCACCACACACGGTCCAGGTTGTGGGGTGAGAGCACATCTGCCCCATGGCTGCAGCAGCCACACGTGGGCTGGTTTTGGGGCACCTTCCTCTCATATAAAGCAAACCACATTCCTTTAATGAATGGATTCAGGATGAGGTGAAAACCCCGAGAGCTGTCCCCATTTCCCATGGGCACAGGGACGAGCTCTGAGAGCCCAGGGATGAGGAGGGGTTGGTGTTTTGGCAGCAGCAGCCCCTCGAGGCTGCCCAGTCAGGCTGGGTCAGTGGGATGAGCCAGGCTGTGCCAGGCACAGGCCGAGGTCCCTCTGTGTGAGCAGGGTGTGGGGTGCCCCCCAAACCTTTGCTCCAGCTGTGCCAGGGGGACCCTTCTGGAAGGGCCGGACCCCCTCACTGCTCTGAGCACCACCAGGCTCCAGCAGGAGGGCACGGCTGGGCCACGCTCTGCATAAACACAGCCAAGGAACTAAAAATGGTTAACATTAAAAAAATAGAGTGTCAGGGCTTCAGGTTTCATCCCTGGACAGCCCTGCCCGCCTGGGCGCTGCCTCCACCCTCCGAGATGGCCGGGAGGAGGGACCAGCACCTCTCCTGTGCCTCACGGGCTTCCCCAGCGGCCCGATCTCCTCCGCTCTGGCTCCGGGAGAGGTTTCGGGGCTGGAGGGGCTCAGTAGGGGGTCGTGCCTTCCCACTCCACCAGGTACTGCACCTTCCCCTCCAGCGTCACCCGCCGTGCCAGCACCTGGTACTTCTCCCCGCACACCAGCCGGCCCGCGGCCCCGAAGTAGCTGCTGATGGAGGACTTGAGGTGGGACAGCGAGGAGTCGTCCTCGCTGATGCTCTCGAAGGTGTGGCTGTCGATGCCGTCGTCGGGCCGGTCGGGGCCGGTCGCTGCCTCGCTGCCCTCGGGGGTGGAGGCGGCCGGGCGCCCGCCCAGCTCGCCCCCTCTCCTCTTGGCCCCCGAGGCGTAGGCTGGCACTGCCAGCTTGCGCTTGCGGCTGCCCACGGTCCTGCGGCTGCCGGGGAGGGCACAGGGCAGCAGTGAGGGCAGCACCCAAAAGGTGCCCTCCCCGGGCTGGCTTCTGGAGGGAGCCGGGAATTTGGGGGAGCCCAGCACGGACCGACGGCTCCGATCCTGCACCCCCTGCAAGTGCCACTCTGGGACCACCAGCACGTTTTGGGGCACAGGCAGGAAAAGCTCCCCAGGGTGGGACATGAAGAGGGGAGACACAGGCCCTCACCCCCCTGGCCATGCCACCAGGACCCCTGCAGAAGGGGGCAAGGGGCACAGTCCTCACCTGGACTCGTAGGAGAGGCTCGTGGTGGCCGAGCCTGAGGTGCTGGTGGCATCTGTGGAGTCCACATCCGATAGGAATGTCTGTCCCGAGCTGGCACTGTGGACAGGGGGGATGGGACAGGCTGGGATGCAGCATCGCCCCCAGCCTGGCACAAGCACCACCCTGCCCCCCACAGCCCTGCTCGGGCTGCACGGACCTTTTCAGGCTCTGGATCTCATCCAGCGTGAAGTCGAAGATGCTGGCCAGGTGGTGGTTGGTGCTCCATGCCGAGGTGAAGTCACTCTGTCACAAAAACAAGCTCACTCCTCACTGCCTGGCACAGGGGGGCTGCCCACACCCCACCGCTGGCACCCTGGGAAGTGTCCTGGGCAAGCGACACTTCCCAAAGTGAGGGACAGGAGCTCTCCCTGGGGAGTGGGGAAAGGCTGCTGGCAGGAGCAGGGCTGGGCAGCGCCCCGCGGCTGCAGAGAGGAGAGGGAGAAGCACTCACGCTGGGAATGGCATCCTCCAGCAGGAACTTGGCCCTCTTGCGCCGCGCTCGCTTCTGCTGCTGCAGCTGCCGCGGCAGGAGGCTGCAAACAGGGCGTGAGCAGGGGGGCGCGGGCAGGGGGCTGCTGCTGCTGCTGCTGCGGGATGTCCGGGCCAGCGGGGCCGCTCACCTGTCCTTATGGACGTATTTGCTTTTCCCCCGCTTCTTCAGCTCACAGCAGCCGCTCTCGCCCTCTCCGGGGGCTTTCTCCGGCAGCACCTTGCTGGGGGGGTTCGGGGGGACGCGGATCCGCAGGCGGAAGATGCATTTCTTCTTTTTGATCTCCTTCCCGCACAGAAACCTGGGCGCAGAGGGGAGGGGGCAGCCCTCAGCCGGGCTGGCACGGGAGCATCCCGCATCCCACCGTGCCCCCATCCCCGCCCGGCGCTCACCTGCTCTTGTAGCTGTTGAGGGCGTTCAGGAGGTGGGGGCCGCGCTCGGAGATCGGGGTGCCCGTGAGCTGCGGGACAGGGCAGGCAGGGCTCAGTGCCCGCTCTGGTTATGCAAAATCCAAACAGACGGGGGAACCCGAACTCCGGCTTTAGGCTCCTGCCCGGGGCCGGGAGAGAGGGAAGGAGGGAGGGAAGGAGGGAGGGAGCCAAGGCCCGGGTCTGGCTCCTCGGGGAGCCGCCCCGGGGAGAGGGGCACCGCGCCTTGCTGTGAGCGCTTCTCCCAGCTCTAGCTCCCGCTGGGAAAGGTGTCAGGTCTGACACTCCAACGAGGAAAATCCCAGCGCAGAGGAAGGTGCCAATGCTGAGTGCTGCACAAGCTGCGGTGACATTTCTCACTCCCATGGCTGCCCTCCAGCCCAACCCAAGGTGTCTTTGTACCTTCCCGAGCTGCAGAGGGTCCCAGTGGTGGTTCACAAAGGCCAGGATCTCCTCGAAGTCAAAGTATTTCTTCTTGCTCTGCACACCCAGGTTGTAGAGGGCAAGATGGACGATGTCCACCCTGCAGCAAAGAGGGGCACAGGGTCAGCAGCCCTGGAAGGATTGTGCCACCACCGTGTCCTGTTCTGCCAGTGCCACTACAGCTCCCAGCCCTCCCAAACCCACCACTGGAACCTTCCCACCCTTCACAGGGGAAGCAGCTCAGCCCAGGGGTGTATCCCAGCAGATACCAGGACAGCATCCCTTGAGCTTTGGGGAGAGGTGGGACACTGCCTGCAGCTGAGCACTTGCAGGGATCAGCCAGCCCGGTGTCCCAGAGCCACCTGGGCACATCCCAAAGGAGGCACAG